AACATTAATAAACTAATAATAATAATAATGACTGTACAATTGTACATATCAAATGGTACCTGGTTCTCTGCTATCCATATTGCTGTAATGTGAGGTAGTGATGAGAGTCCTGCTGGTAGTCTTGACAACTGGTTCCCAATGATATTAATGATTGTTAAACTGCTCAACTGAGCTATTGATGAAGGAATAGACCTCAGCCGATTGTTCCTTAGGGTAAGGACAGTTAGTGAGGAGCAACCACCTATCTGTAATAATAATAATAATAATAATAATAAATAAATAAATAAATAAATAAATAAATAATGTCAGTACTTCTTTTTGCAAGTGTTCTAGTCTGTTCTCATCAAAGTTTAATAAACTAAGACACTTCATACCACCAACACTGGACGGGATATAAATAGTTATACTATATCCCAGTTCAGTTTGGGACGGAAGTGAAAGCAGCTGTGTGGAATTTGAAAAATGTAGCTACGTCACAAAAATGACGTAAATAATGATATTCATAGAGGAATGGCGCCTGTGTTGTTTCACTCTTAAAACAGTCTTGCTGTTACTGATAAGCAGTACAATAGCTGCTGGAGTCAACTAGTCTTCATAAAGGCCATCGTTATCAAAAGATCTCGCTCTATTAGCTTTTTAAAAGAAGAATTGTCAGTTTGGGCACTCGACTACATGTGCTTATGTAAACTATGACATCATGAAACGTCATTGTGGTTAGCTTTGGTATGCCATTGCGTTTATAGGGAGAACCCGGTTCTCAGGGTTCCCAAGGGCTGAGAGACCCAAGGTTTCACAGATTTTGATGGACTTTAGCGACTAAGAACCTGTAAAAGTTTCATCCTTATCCCACATTCCAATAAAAAGTTATTCCAGTTTTTCTTGTCCCAAACTCAACTGGGATATAGTATAGTAGCAGTTATACTATTAGTTATTATCTTACATTGATGTGGTTTTGCGATAAGTTGAATTCAGTCAAACTCTGCAACATGATAACCAAACCTACTAATTAACAATGACTCCACCCATCAATTAATAAACTAACTATTGCCCACAGTACATATAATACCACTGATATAGGGATTCACAGGCACACACACACATTACAAGTGATAATCAGTACAGTACCATATTAGTACAGTACACTAGTGGTACAACATACCCTCCTATTGACTCA